CGGAACTCATCACATTTTAAAAAGTTTAAAGAAAAGAAAGGTGAAACAGATAACCCAGGAGATAAAGAAGAACAGCCGAGCAAGCAGAACACCAATGAACGCCCGAAAAGGAAAACAAAACCACCAGCCTACTTTGGCTATAAACAGTCTGGGGCCGGTTGTATAAAAAAGTGATTAAAGTTAATTATAATTAAGTGGAAACGTCATCCAATAAGAAGCGCCTATTTGAGAGTTAATCACTATTTAACTACAAAATAGTGATTAAAAAAGTGATTAAGAGTTTTATACAACCGGCCCCAGATAAGTAAAACATTTATAATGAACTTTAATTGTCTAAGGAGTCATCATAAATGAACTTTAAAATAAGACATTATAGGAACTTTCAGGTTGATATTAGTTAATCACAAACAGTTATAGTGAATGCAAAAAACTAAAGGTTTAAAGGGATGTAATGACGTAATAGTTACATCATGCTTTAGGAGCATGCGCACTTGTAAAGATAGGAGCTAGACATGTGTTTATGCATCGAAGGAGTACTATATTACAAGCGTCAATGCGTCTTTCCTCAAGAGAGCGCCACCCAAGTTCATTTGGCATTTCAGTAACACTGGCCAGTGGATGAAAGCGTGCTAGGGTCGATCTCGCCGCTCTGCGTTGAATCATCTCCACTCTGTATGAACCGTTGTTTTCAACTCCGCGTCGGGGATCCCAAACGCTGCAGCAGTACTCTAGCTGGGGGCGTACAAGGCTAACATAGGCCTTTTGCTTGAGTTCACGATTTTTTACCCTCAGATTTCTTTTCAGAAACCCTAGAGTACGGTTTGCTTTGGCAGTAACATTGCTGATGTGAGAGTTCCACTTTAAATCGTGTGATAATTGTACTCCAAGGTACTTGGCACTTGTTACGGGCCTGAGGACTTGCCGTGAAGAGTATAGTCATGATGGATCATTGATTTCTTGCGCGTTACGCGTAGGACTTCACATTTGTCTGGGTTAAACTCCATTAACCAATCATTCTCCCATGATTGTAGGTTGTCTAGGTCTGATTGTAGTTGAGCGCACTGATCTTCTGAGTGAATTGCGTATATATATATATATATATATATATATATATATATATATATATATATATATATATATATATATATATATATATATATATATATATATATATATATATATATATATATATCTGCAGACATGCATGTTTCGGCGTTCAACGCCTCGTCAGTGCAGCTTGGTACACGCCTAGATACGTGAGACACTCGTATATATATATATATATATATATATATATATCGGGGATCAAATGCTTTGCATTAATGAATACACATGACGCTGTAACCCACCCTTCTCTCGACACTCGCCTTCTGAGATGTAGGTTAT